CAACATCTTTTATTAGTACTATTGTTATTGTTGTTGAAATATCTTTCATTGTATTTTAATATTATATGTATAACAAAATTTCAACATCTTTTATTAGTACTATTGTTATTGTTGTTGAAATATCTTTCATTGTATTTTAATATTATATGTATAACAAAATTTCAACATCTTTTATTAGTACTATTATTGTTATTATCATTCTTATTGTTGTTATTTTTTGTTGTTTGTTTGTTTGTTTGTTTGTTTTTTTTTTCATTTCTCTTTCAATCTTTCCAATCAATAATCTTCTCATTTCATGTATTACTTGTTGATGAACTTTGTGTAGCATCCAAATTGACTGACGGTAACTTAAATCATTCCAATCATTTTCATTCATTTAAATACATCTAATTAATTGGATGAATATTTGTTAAAATATTACTGTAATCAAAAAATTCTCAAATCAAAATTCATTTTTAAATAAACATATTTCTATACTTTAAAGCTATTTATTAGCTAATATTATTCCTATTATTATTTCATTATTATATATCTTATTGAGAAATAAACAGAAATGAAATAAATTTTTCATTATTATTTCATATAAAATTCATCTAATATAGCATTACATTTATTCATTCATCAATAATAATTATTTCAAATTTAATTTTTAATTTTAATTTTAATAAATTAATAGGACGAGAAACAAACCATAATTTTACTCGGAATTGCTTCAGCACTACTACCAAATCGAATATCTTGTTGTTGCTCAAATTGCGCTTGCGCAACTGCATCTTGCAATGATACAAACATGTAACTTTTCGGCACATGCTCATAAAAATGCGCATTTTCGAACATTTGTCGTACAGCTACTTCAAGTTATTTCATTCATATGCTTGTAATAATCTTTTTATACTTATAATCTAATTATAATAATAATGCTATCTTTTTTTTTTGTGACAATTAGAAAATGCATTTACCGTATGCTATCATATCATTTGAATATTCATTCAAATGATATGATAAATTCATTTAATATTTTCATCATGCTAAAGATAAATTAAAGTAAGCTATAATTATGAATTATTATGTTTATTACGAATTTTGCACTCATTTCAAAATTATCGTTCTGTTTGATATTTCTACGGTAGAAAAGAAAAAAAAAATAGATGACCTTTACAACAGGCAAAAAATACGGTAATATTAATTGCTTTATATTCGATATGTGCTCGTGCTAATGCATCAACACCCATTAAATCAATATACGGGAATGATGAACAATCGACAATAATATGTGTCAACTGGATTAAATCTTCTGTTTCCTCATTTCTTTCAATATTTCGTTTCGATGGATGAATACAATGTCGCCGTACTGTCAACTCTATAAGAAATATGTTTACAACAAATATTTGCAGTAAGTTTTATTACTTTAAAAATAAGGAAAAATAAAAATTTAAAAATTAAAATATTATCAAAAATTGTTTTAAGTTCAATTTCAAGAAGGTTTAAAAAATTTTTACATCAAACAATATGTTAAAAAGCATACCAAATGATGATATAAACAAAAACAAATGTTGAAATGAACAAATTAAATGAATGAAAATACTAATTGGTTGATAGATCAATTAATAAGTTAATGAATAAGCTTAAGTAAATGAGTAATTAAGTGAAAAGGTTAAAGGTGAAAGATGTAAATACTAATTGATTGATAGATCAATAAATAAGTTAATGAATAAGCTTAAGTAAATGAGTAATTAAATGAAAAGGTTAAAGGTGAAAGATGTTATTAAACGGAAAGTTTGCAAATCATCTGCTGAAAACTTACGAATTTCTTCATCATGATCAACACTTTTATTCTTTTTCTTATCATTATCATCTGTGGCTTTTTTCTTTTGAGTAACAGTTTGCTTAAGTTTTGCGACAATATTTAATGGATCAAGACCTGTTGCGCTGAAATTTAAAAAAAAAAAAGTGAAAAGAAAAAAACTAACAAATTGCGCGAAAAATTCATTGAAAACTTGAATTACATTCCATTTCATTTTAGAAATGTAATGAAGTTAGTAAAATATGTAATTAAGTAAACAAATGATTAATTATGATTAAAGATTTCATTAGTCATCTTTATAATTTTAATTTTTCTCTAATGAATGTAAATTATTGATTTCTTTTTTTATTCAATTCAATGAATGTATTTTATTCAATTCAATTCAATATTTTTTATTCAATTGATTTTTTTTTTATCAGAAATTAATTTCTTTTCTTTACTACTTTTTCCTTAAACAAAATGAAAACAGAAATTTTAAAAAAGAAAAAAAAACCTATGCATGCTTGATAAAAATAATTCAGCATTTGCAAAATACAATGGTGCATCGAATCGGAATACTTTAATACCGGAAATTTCCATAGCTGCACGATAATGACCAATACCTTTGAAATCGGATGTCCCCGGAATGCGTCCCATACATGTACTTTCTGCCCTTAATCATTTGCTGAATATTTAGAATTTTTTTTTTTTGCTACAAATTTTAAGAAGTTTAATTTAAAAATTTTTTGCCATTGTAAAGTATAAAATAAAACAAAAAAAAAATTCTGCAAAACAATTAAACGTAAAAAATGATAAAATATAATCTAACTTCATCTGTTATAACAATTAAAAATATTCAAAAAAAAAAAATTACATTTTGTCTACTTCTTACCATAATTAGATATTTCAATCACAATTAATTAAGATAATACTTTGTATGATGATAATGAAATTGATATGTCATCCAAAATGACACATCATTCTACTTACTTCCGCTTTTTTTTGGGTATATAAATGAAATCAAACAGATTTGTTTAATTGGTAATTAAAAAATAATAAAGCTTTTTAAAAATTCTTATAATCTTTATAAAATTCATAATGAATTTTACAAAATAATAAATTTGATCATTTCGATACAGACATATATTATAAGTATACGTACCATTGTGATCGTAAGACGACAGTAAGAAGAGCAAAAACAATACCAATTGCAAGTCCAATATTAACATTTATCAGAACAACTGCTGTAAATGTCACCAAAAATATGAACTAAAAAAAATAAAAAATTAATGTTAGGTTTTTTTTTTCAAATTTTAATTATATATTTTTTTGTTTAATTTTTTAAATATTTTTCAAATTTTTTCGAATTTTTCATTTTTTATATTCTTTTTTTCTCCAAATTATAATTAAATCGTTTTAGCAACAACAATTAACAATTTGGAAGAATTTGAAATGAATGAATAAAATTAAATTTTAAATAAGTTTTAAAAAAATAGCAAAATTTAGAAAAAATGAAAAAATTCAAATAAATTCCAAAAAAAAAAATAATAATAAAATGTGTGAATGAAACGAAATTGAAACGATAAAACTAACAAAATCAACGGTTGATTCTTGTAAAAGTACACGTGACCAACATATTTTTAGGTATAATTCTTTCATAGCAACCACGACAATACATGATAATATCGTCTAAAAATGCAAATATATTTACTTTCCTTACTTATTTACTTATTTATTCGTTCATTTCCTATTTCTTATTTTATATTCCAATTTTCAATTTTCAAATAACATTTCTGTTTAAACACTTCAATTCATCATTATGATTGCAAAAAATAAAAAATACAAAAAATTATCGTAAATGTCACCATATACATGTGACAATCTAACATTTGCACTCTTGTTTTTCTCTCTTTTTTTTTTTTCAAAAGGATAAATCAGATATTGATAGTGTATATTGGAATTTGGAAGAAAATTTAAACTGCAAAAATTTTGATTTTAGTAATTTTTTCATTTTAGCAATACCAAAATATACCGATCGATACCTTAGGTAAATATTTGAATAAAGGTGCAGCTCCAAAGGCAATAATTAGTAGTACTATTACTACTACTAATGTTGTTAGCTGAAAATGACAATGTTGTGAATGTTAACAACGAAAAGTTAAAATTTTCCGTTTAAGTAGAAATTATTCGTTCAATTAATTTAATTAAGATTGCATAATATTCCGATAAGGTAGCACTAATAACATGAGATATAAGCCGGATATTGTGTATATGTTGAAAATGTATGACCAGAAGTGCTCAAATTCGATGTTTTCATTTTCAGTTTTCCTAAATTTATCATCTAACCTGAAAATACAATCATACCTGTGACTTTGACCCCAATTTTGCACTTGTTATTGTCCTACTTAACGATGAACCGCCAGCAAAACAACCAAAGAATGATGCTACAATATGCATTGTACCCAATGCTAACCATTCCTTCAAAAAGTTGCCAAAAAAAAAGGTTAAAGTTCAATTAATTGAATATATGGGAAAATATGAAAATTACCAGTAACTCAGATAATTAGCAAAGATAATGAGTATTTCAGGTAATTAGTAATTAATAATGTTGAAATAATTCAATGAAAGAAAAGTTAATTACTGATATCGTGAAAAGAAACTACTGATGGAAGACATAATCCGGAATAAATTAATGAAGAAAAAGTTTCAATTCAATGGATGAAAAAGAAATTAATACCTGATTAACATTAATTTGATACTTATATTCTTTGGCAATTAATTTTGCAAGTGCAATATGTATAACAAATGATACAATAGCAATTGAAAAAGCCGAAAAAATAATCTTTCCGGTTTCGCCAAAATCAGGAAAAAATGGTGCACGCATTCCGGCATCAACATCACCAACAATATGCAAATGTAAATCAAATGGTGTATCGGTTGCAAAATAGCATAAAGAAATGGAAAATATGACCTGAAAAAGAGTATTTGTGATTTTTCAAAAAGTAAAAAAAAAACGATTTAACAAATTAAATTATTTCCAAAATAGTTTTTCTTTTTTTTGGATTTTAGTCAATTTTGATAAAAAAAAGGAATTGAAATTTTTACTAAATATGAAGTAATCGAATTTTAAAATCTATTTTAATCGTATAAACTCTTCATGAAAATTTCTGCAACACAACTTGTAAAATAGTATTTTAAATCGAAATTGTTTTTTTATTTTGTATTATGAAGTAAGCTAAAATAGTAATATTACTAAAAAAAAAAAATATTAGCATAGAAATGAAATAATCCCGAGATTTCTTAAATATTTAATAAAAATATAATATGTAAACTTATTTGTTGAAAATGATTCGTATCATTTTTTAAATTTTAATCCAATTGATGCTTTAATCTATGGATAATTAATTCGAATTATTAAATCTTTGAAATGAAATAATAATCGTTTTTACCAGAAGAAATTCCATTGGAAATCTTGTTTTTGTCCAAGGTTTAATGATCGGATCAATAATTAATTTTGATATTAATAAGGTGAGAATACAAATAACGGTACAGAGGAATGTATGCAATTGAAATGTATGGATATTTCGAAAAAAACATATCATAAACTGAAAAGAGAAAAAAACAGTAAAGGTTTTTCTTTTTTTTAATTATCCATAAAAGATCGAAATAAATTTTCCCCCGTTTATTCGAGATGTCCAGGATATATGTTAAATTCTAATATATTCATATATGAGTGTATTTGAATTTGTCTTTTTAAACATTAATATTTTTCATATAAATTAATCACTTATAATCTTTTTAAAAATTCATTAATCACTCTTTTATATATATATATGTAAACATGTAAATGATTAATGTTAAGAAGATTATGATAATTATAACAATATTAGAATAATTATATTGTTGATAGAGAAAAATGATAGCTGATAACATTATTGCATAATTGAATGGAAAAATTTATTGATATTTATTTGTAAGATAATTTTGTTACCGATTAAATTTGTAGTATATCGATAAAGATTTTAATTATCATTAAACAAATTAAGTAATTAAACAAATTAGATAATAAATTGAACGAATTATATAATTAGATTATTATTAAATAAATAAATTAGATTAAATATTATTAAATAATTATTATTTAAATAATTAGATTTACATCGATTTATAATATCACGATTTTAATTATTAGATAAATTAAATTGATATTGATTTATAGTATCACGATTTTAATTATTAAATAAATTAAATTGATATTGATTTGTGATATCGCAATCTTAATTATTGAATAAATTAAATTGACATTGATTTGCGATATCGCAATCTTAATTATTAAATAAATTAAATTGATATTGATTTATGATATCGCAACGAAAAAGAAAAAAAGTAAATAAAATTGATGAATGTCTGTTTTTTCCTTTTTTTAATTGAAAAAAATTTAAATAATTGTAAAAAATATTTTTACAATTTTAAATTAAAAATTTCATCAAGAAGCATACTCGAACAATTCCAAACATTTCGGATGTATGGGGTACATTTCTAACACCAGTCATTGTTTGAAGTTGACTAGCAAGGACATGTACTGCTGCACCAGATGTCAATCCTTCCACAAGTTGATCTGATAACCAAACAGCTAATAAGCCAGCATTTAAAAGTCCTAAGACTACCTTCAAAAAATAAATAAATAAATAGTTTTAAAATAGAGCAAAATTTTAAATTTCAATTTAATACATTTTGAAATCAAAAAAAAAATTTATGGCAAATAAAAATATAATTGAAAAAATTATTTTAATAACCTGTATGATACCAACAAAGAATGCAATCAATGATGATAATTGAATAGCTTTTTCGGGATCCGGTTTTTGAGTTATTTCTGAGCAACAAAGTCGATCCGTTTCATTATATGTTAATTTTGATTCCGTTAATGTTTGCTCAATTACTGATCCAACCATCATTGAAATAATTGCAAAAGCACCTGAGAAGAAAAAAACAACTTTCATTTAACAATTACTAGAAAAATGGATGAAATCAGGAATTGATTAAAATGATTTTTTTTTAGTTCTATTAATTCAAAGATTAAAAAAAAACTTAATATATATTAAATCGAATCAAAATATATAACCAGTAGAAGCATGTCGTGATGTTCCAAGAAAAATATAAACCAATGGTCCAACGATACCTGTATAGATACCATATATCGGTGGTATACCAACCATTAAACCATATGCAAGACCTATTAATTGTTAAACTTTTATCATGAAAAAAAAAAAAGTTAAACTGATAAGATTGATACCTTGTGGAATGTAAATAATTGATATCATGATACCATTGATAATATCTTGTAATAAATCTTCATGCCAATCATATGTTAGAAGCCAACAAATAATCGGTAATCGACTCTGAATTTTGTCTTTTCTTTTCCTATTTTTTTTTTTAATTAATTTATTTGATGATAAAGTTATTTCATGTAATAATAGATCAAATACAATTACAGGTAATTGCATGAAATCATATAAACAAAAGATTGTTACCTTTAAAAAATTTATCCATTCTAAACTTCGCCATGCTTTGATAATTTTTATCTGATAAATTATTTTTCTTGCTAATGATAAATTAGTCTGTAAATTTAATCGTCAATTTAATTAAATGTTAACAAAAGTAAACAAAAAAAAAGCAAACATTTTTTCGAAATAAAATACTTTTTTTCAAAAAAATACTCTTTCATGGCTTAATTTTTTCATATTTTGAATTTGAAATTTTAATAAATGAAAGATAATTATTGTTTGTATAATGTGTTGCACCAAATATTTCACACTTATCCAATATTTTTTTTTAATTAATTAATTCATTCACTAATTCATTTCATATTTAATATTAGTTATGTAATTTAGGAATGAATGATTGTTATTAAAAGGATTGCAATTTTTTTTTTAATTTTTTACCCGTCGATAGCCATGTTTTTTATCAAACTGTTCCTGATTTATTGCAGGTTTACGTTCTGTATTTAAAGTTAATTGCATTTCCGATTTTTGTATGCTAAAATTGCATTTGCAAGTAAATAAGTACCGCAATATATGGCGAATACTTATTAGATAAATTCCGAAATATAAAACTTTAAAAGTTAAAATGTTAAAAAAAGAAATAGTTTTATTTATTTTTTTGCTATATGCAAAAATTCTAAAATCTTTTTGAAAATTGTTCAACTGCTTATTTCAGACTTGTTTATCCTGGTATAATAAGAGCATTAATTACTAATTAAAGAATTCTTATTGATCACTTAGAAAAAAAATGTCGCAAAATTTGCATACGCTGTTGACATTTCTGGTTCTCGAGAATTTTTAATTTGTGACTTCTGTGATTGTGTAGCTTCTTCCTTCATTAATTCTTTCACATTTTTCACATATTTTGTCATTTTACGCTTCAAATTTGCTGCATCAGAAGAATACATTGCTGTAAATAATTAACAAATTATTTAAAATTATTAGCTCAATTTCAATTCGATTGCTTAAATTAATGATTGCTTGAAAATTCCCAAGAAATACTATACTGAAAAAAATAAAAGATGATGAAATAAAATTTAAAAAATTACCTAAAATATTCATTTTATATTATTTGTAATGATAGAATCAAATGATTCACACATTCTTATACAATAGCCTACATATATTTTCTATTTTTATACTTTTAATCTCGAGTAATTTCAGTATTCCTACCTAAGTAATCCTCATATCATTATTTTACTCTAAATAATCCTAGCATTCTAGGTACCACTCATATACAGTGACATTTGATAATTATCGTATCATTGATACTATATCGGTAAAATAGGATATTACTGATTACATCGTTGATTTCAATTATAAATTCAACAAACTAAAATGTCTAGCAGAATGAAGTGTAAATTGAAAGAAGTCAACTTTTTCAGATACCATCAAATTTGCATTTGGAGAGTAAAGTATAATTGATATTACTAATTACAATATATATATATTTTCTAATGAATCAAAATTGCATACTAAAAGTGAATGCTTTAATTTTAGAAGTAAACAAGGTAAGTTAAATTTTGCAAATTTTTGTCAAATTGTTTCTTTACTAATTTTTTTTTTTTTGCTGAATTAAGTAATTAAATTGAAAACAGGTATAAAATTGTATTGATTGATTTGTAATTATTGTACTTGAATCTGTAAATGATGATTCAGAAGGAACTTTTCGCGATTTCATAATTCCTCCTTCTATTGATGGTAAATGATGTCCAACTTTTTTTCACCACTTCCCGCACTTCAGCATTTATCCCAGAAATCTCTTGGTTAACTTTCTTCTTTTGATCAACCATCTTCATCTTTATTGTTTAACTGAAAATACTTCTGGAAACAATTTTTACTCCTCTTATAGTAGTTATGATTTATGCAAATTTTTCATTTCTATTTCAATTCATGATTTAAATTTTCAATTGAAAAATGAAATATGTTAATTACACTTCTACCCTTGATCATTTTTTTTTTGTCGCACTTATCATCGATCAAATGAAATGAGAGTAAAGAATTGGAATCAACTGACCTAGGTTTCATTGATTAACTTTAGAATTTGAACAAGCATTAATTTCATAATTTCAATTTGCATATTTTAACCTATAGTGTAACTGTCAATAGTGTAATTGTCACTAATTTGAAT